CCCCAAAACCCCAAAACCCCAAAACCCCAAGCATTTAATTTAGTTGAAATTATTGAGGAATAATTATATTGAAAATTAATGAAAGAGACCAAACTACTTGGAAAGGAAGGCAGTAGTGAGGAAGAGAAGACGAAGTTCGAGCAAATCGAGGAAGAGGTCAAGAATTCCATTTTCAGCGTCTTCTACCTTTTGCTTAAGAACCAAGAAACTACCTTCTGGAAATTTGTGTTATTGCTAATTATAGAATATTTGTAGTTATTATCATTTTCGTTCGATACCAGTGTAAGTAGGATTACCCCATTTATCAACCATCTTAGCTCATTCGCATATATCATATTTACTTATTCATCCTAATTTAGCTAATCGAGGAATGGAAATCAGACACTGTGGTAAATTACTTCGCTTAGTTTTTGAGTACTTTCAGAATAGTATACTGGCTTTAAAAGCTTTCCTGGGATGTCTATATTATCATATTCTACATCGCCATTTTCTTAGTGTTTGTAGTTATTATCGATTTCCTCTATGTTGCTATCTCTTTCAAGCACAAAAAGTTCAGCTTTATGCAGCCAATCTAAATCTTAAGAATCGCTTCGATACTGATGTAGACCATATTGTACATACCCATTACTGGTAAAAATTTCAAAAATTAAATATCTGTCCATACTGAGATTTATGCTTAATTTAGAGTTCTTTTTTTCGTTATCAGCTTGTTCAAGGTACAATGGATAATTAGCGCATGAGGTATACAGAGAAGAGGTGTGCTTCTAGAGTATTCATATTTTGCATGTTACCCTTTCATATTTGATGATGGTGATATTTACATCAATGACAGTTCTATCCTGCATGATGCACTATGAAAACAGATATACAAAAGACCCAACAGCAAAGTAAGTTATTTTTACACTAGAAACTATTGTTGATTTTACATAATTGAAATATGTGCCTAAATTTACATTTGATTATAGAATTAATTCCAAGGCAGATATCTTCTAGATAATTTCAAAATCAGCTTATGTGTTTGTATTTGTGTTCTTTTCCTAGAATGAATACAGTCTGTTCAAAAGTATAATCCTCTGCATTTTCTCGTCAGTTACATTCCTGTCTTACATTCAGAACAAACCTTTCTTCAACTCAATGACTCAGATCATCGCTGAAATCTTTTCAGGAATATTTGCTTGGACAAACTACGTGTTGCTATTCACTTAACTAATTAAATCCACTCAGTTCAACGGGGCGCTAGAGATATACTTCTTAGGCATTCCAATAATATGTATATTGATCTACACTAGACAAGAAGACAGACTTTAGCTACTATTAACAGCTGAAGGGTAGATTCAAAAAGGAGAACTTTGCCAAAAGAAAAACTTCTTTTATCTGCATATAATAGAGACTAAGGAACTCGAGAGATACTCTGCTATTGTATTAAAAGGATATATCAATCATCACTCTGAAGTTTGCCCGAATGATAATTGTCCAATAAAGAATTTCAAACGACTTTAGTTAAGAGATAAATTATACCAGGATAATGATAGGAAAAAGAAGCTAGTTGGAGGGAAACTCTAAGTGTAGACAATCGAAAATAACTCGCTTTTACTAGCACAAGCTAAAGCTCTCTATAATATGGGAATCAAGAAATTCCCAAAATATACAGCACTAAGAATAGACTATGCAAATTTCCTACAAAGCAAAATGAAGGATAGGAAGGGAGCTTTAAATGAACTGTCTCAAGCAGAAAAGATCAAGCCAGGCATTGATCATTAATTCATGGTATTCAGACAGCGAAGAATAATAGAAGATGAGTTGGCTGAGGGTTAGGAACATGGAGGCGTAGACTTTATTACTGCCTTGAACTTCGAAAATCAATTCAAAAGCTTTAAATAGCTTATTGAAAAGAGCTCGATGCTTCACTACGAGTTTTGGAATCACCTTTAAGACGAATCTCCTGATCTAGTCAGACTCTCCTAATAGGGTGCAAAGATTAACACATCAATAATGTAGGTTGAAGACAACTGGAAGAAGCTGTCTAAGATGAGTACGAATACCCCAAAGGCTCTTAAACTCTATGCAACTTACCTAATTGAAATTTTAAATGATAAGGAAACTGGTAATGAGCAGATGATCAAGGCAAAAGAAGCAGCTAATCTGAGAGTTAACTTTGAATTCAACAATGTGAACGAAGACTTCTCAGATCTAAACAACTATGCTCAGGACGGAACACCATGTATCTATATATCTGGAGAGTAAGAAAGAATAGGTATAGTAAATCAATGTAACATGAGCTTGTGCAAGATATTCGGATACACTAAGAAGGAGGATGTGATAAATAAAGACGTGGAAATGCTAATGCCCAAAATTTACTCGGATAATCACAAGGATTTTCTCAATGTAAGCAGTCAGAAGTCAGCTGATTAGATATCAAGCAGGGAAAGACAAGTTTTTGGCAAGCATTTCTCTGGCTATGTGTTCCCATTATGGCTTTAAATTAAGAATCTCCCAAGTCTTCTGAGTGGCAGATAGTATGTGGCTACATTCAAAGTAGAAAAGACTGGCATTAACAAGAACGTCTGTCATATATTACTCAATAAAAATAAAGAGGTGCAAGACCTAACTCCATCTTGTCTGAAAATGCTAGGCATTAGCTATGAAAAGATCAATAAGAAAATAATCTACTATGATATGCCTACCGTTATGCCTCAGCTATTTTCAAACAATTAGCAGCAGTACACGAACAAAGCAGGAGCAGTTATTAACTTTTTTTGTCCTAAAAATATGGAAATGAGTGAGGTTAGAAAGAAGCATTCAGATGACTATGATATTGATGATCACAAAATCAACAAGACAAACGGAAGTGCCATTGATGTACCAGACCCTCGAGAGGAGGATTTATCATAAATTGAGAGAAATTCAAATGATGATTAAGACGATGACTAAATCTCCCAAGTTCATAGATCCTCAAAAAATGTCAATAAGTCTAGAAGAAATGAAGATGACAACAATGGAAATAAGAATGATGACGATAATGATCCAAATTATGTCCAGTATCAGTATAAAGCTGTTGGCTAAGAAGATAAAGTTCTTCAATTTCAATGCAATCTCACTGAAATTTACTTTGAACTTATTAACTTATCCTATGGATATCATCTAAGACTTGAGAGTTTACCTGAGAAGAGCTAGTCTGACTAGGTAAATAAAAGAATAGCTCAACAGGCTTTCCAATTTTCATACGATCCTATCTATAAGAGATTTATAAGAGAACTTAGAGACACAGAAAATAAGGACTACATTCTTGACAGAAACTACTTAGAATTGAAACACTTCAAAGAAAGAGGAAAGTAAGAGAATGTTGAAGATCCAACTCTTGTCAAGTATCAAAACATGAGCTACATCAATTTCTTAAACAAGAAACAAAGATAGCAGGACAAGCTGAATAAAGGATTGATTTCAGCTGGAGATGAGGATGACGAGGATGAGTAATCAGAAGATGAATCAAATGTTTCAGATGATTCAAAGAAGGATAAGACTACAAAGGATGGAGATAAGACTCCAAATATGCTCTCCTCTAAGAATGATAAGCAGTTAGGTCAAACATCAATGACTCCGTAGCCACTCACAATAAATCAAGGCATGATGAATATAGACTATAGTAAGATGCTAGTGGCTGGTGAGGGTTATGGTAAAGAGTTCTTCAAGGGTGAGATTGAGAGACTGATCAAAGTGCTCTAGGAAAAGTAGTCTATCAGCTAAGGTGTGCATACATTCATAAGAAATGATGGCCCTAGAAAAGGTTGGGAGGAAAACAACAATCAACATGCTGGCTTGTTTAGTGACAGAGCAGCTGAGATTTAAAAGATTGAGGAGGAAGAGGAAATTCAGGAGTAAAAGGAAAAGCACAGCGATAAGGACACTGATCAGCTTAAAGCAAACATCAAGTCAAAGAAGGCATTTTCCATGGCTATTAATGATAAGACTATGCCATCAGCTATTAAGAGACTAAGCACTACTGCTTAGATTATATTACTGTTCTTGATTGCCATAGCTATTGCAGAGTATGCAATTATATACAAGCAGTTTGCAGATACTAAGGCTAACTTTTTACTTATTGAGAAGTCTTACATGAGGACAGCTGAACTCTAGAAGGTTGTATATAATGCGAGATCTATGATTCTTATGAACTAAGGAATTTTAACTAACTACGCTGGATTTTTAACGCGAGATGACTATGTATCAGCAATTAAAGTGGATTTTCAATCCTCTTTAGACTTAATCTATAAGATCTAAAATGAGATTAACTTGTCTTAATTGCCAGTCTCTGATGAGCACGATCAATTGCTGAATAACAAAACAGTAACATTGTACTTTAAAGAGGACTAGAACAGCATGAAAGCACTCTAGTTCTCACTAACTGAATCAATCCTACAGATCTCATCAACCATTTTTACCATTAGCAACATGAAGCTGTCAGAGTTCAATGAGACTAATGAAGATGTATTCTTTTTAATGTACAACACATTCAATGAATTTTATATTGGCCTAGAGAAGTCATCTCAGATATATGTGAGAGAGCTAGAGGACAGATCCAAGAGCAGAACTGAAGTCAGTTTAGTGTTCTTTATTTTATCAATTACTGCTGAAGTGTTTTGCTTGCTAATACTATTCCCAGTTGTTCATTCAGTCAATCAATAAAAAGACAAAGTGCTTTCATTATTCTGTGAGATTGATAATTCAGTAATCAGAGTATTGGCTTTAAGATGCGAGAGATTCATAAATAATCTGCAAACGGAGGAGGGTAACGATGACATAGACTCAAATGAGGATATTGAGAACAACCTGGCTAATGATGAGGACGACGAGTATAGTCTTCTCTCTGGCACAGGCAAGCGAATTAAGAAAGCTAAGGGCAGAACCAAGACTGATAAAAATTTCTTTATAAAGTTTTTCTTGGCATTGCTATGTATCTAAGCCTATTATCTTCAAAACTACTTCCTCTAAGTAGATGCAGTTGATACAACTTAGATTCTAAATTCAGAACTCAATGTGACTGCAAGTATTGAACCATTCTACTGGTTCTCATTAAATGTCTAGAGAGAAATGTACTTCAATAAGACTAAACCAATAACCAAGCAGCAATCAATCACCATTGCCAAATAGTCTATTTATCAGTTATATGATCAAAACAATTAACTCCAAGAGATGCATCTAGACCATAAATCAAGTCTTAACCCAGATTACTGGAATCAATTTGAAAGTGTAATGAGGGAAGATCTTTGTGATAAATAGGCCTACTTTAATAATACTGCCTAATGTGCTGCTTTTAGTTCAGGAATGCTGTAGTAGGTAATCTATTCTTCTAAAGTTTAAAACTTATATATAGGGCTTGCACGTGGTTGTTGTGAGATACTTTGCAGGATTGAGATCATATCTTAATGACTATCAAACATATATGCAAATTTCTAACAATACTCTAATTAGACTCATTTTTAATGAACAAAGTTTCATAGAGTTATGTAAGCGATACACCATCCAGCTAATATTTCTTATAGATATCATTCAAAATTACATAACTTAACCCTTAATGAGGCAACTTGTGACAAAGCTTAGTGAGTCAATCCAGGATGAGTTCGGTTTCAGAACTGAGAGAAAAATTGCTCTCTTTATAGTATTCCTCATTGTTATACTGATAGCATTTATTGTTTTTTGGCTGCCTTTCTTAAACGGACTTAACTATCAGATTTACAAGACTAAACTGATGTTGATGATCATTCCTTTAGAAATACTTATGAAAATCAAGAATGTAGGCAAAGTACTTCAAAGCCAAAGCTTCCTTAGCAATAACAAGAAGAGAAAAAGTGATGGGGCATAAGGCTGACCATTCTTGTATAAAAAAACATGAAGCAACTTTAACTGAACTAAATATTTTATAAATCATAAAATGAGAATCTACAAATTTCTTTGAAATTAAGAACTATGGGGTTTTGGGGTTTTGGGGTTTTGGGG